GGAGTCCTTGACGGCTTCCCAGAAGGCTCGGCCGTTCTGAGGGAATTCTCCCTGACCAGCTACACTAGTCATCAAGACAACATTCTGCTCGTTGGGAAGATCCTCAAGTGGGAAGTCATCCATGGCCATGACAATGGTCTTGAGGCCTCTAGCCTTGCCTCGGTTTCCTAGCCTCTTTGCCAGATTCTCAGCGTTGCCATTGTCAGAAGCGAAGAGAATTGTAAGTGGGTCGCCTTGAAGACCTTCGAGTAGTTTGCTATACGCGTCCTTGGCTTTGCGCTTCTGCAACTGCCTGACTTCGGTTCCGTAGGATCCAGAAAGGTTGGATGCGAACTCGGGGTGTCGCTTCATGACCTGTGACATGTAGTTGTCGCGAGAGAGGAACTCCTCCAGCTCTTTCTTGATGCGCTCTGAGTCCAGCTTGAAGTTCACTTCACCCTTCTCCTCGGCCTTGGGGTCCCATCGGTAGAGTGGCCAGTATCCCAGGTCAACCGCCTTCTTGGTCTCTTGTAGGACAGTCAGAGGAGTGTCATTTTCCTTCTCGTATGGCAGATACGCGAGGACAACGGAGGGACCGTTGAACTTGTCGGCTTCAATCATGGCCTCCAGAACCTGAGTGTAGGAACTGTATACCGCAACCGATGCAACATACGCGTTACCGAAATTCATAGCATATAGCCCAATGTCCTTCTTCCGCCTCGCCGCATCAGCAGCAGCGCGCTCCGAGTAGGGGGTAGAGTCAATGATGAGCATGTTGACATTCTCGCCAGATGCTAGCACATGGTGTACACCAGAGTTTCCGAGGTCGTAAGCCCAAGCATCAGATCCAATCAGCCAAGGCGATTCCTTGTAGAACAATTTCTTAGAAGAAAGTAGCTGGCTGGCGATAGGCGATCCATCAGTACTTAAGCGGGCGATGACTTCAGAAGCCAGTTCATTGGCCTTGTCAGTGTCATCAGCGGTAAGAGCCCACTTGGAGAGCCATTGCTGTGGCGCTTGAGTGATGAACTTATTGTCCTTGGAAGCAGCGGCGGCCTCTTCAACAAATCGCTTTCGGTGCTCCTTGCGCGCAACAAGCGATCCAAAGCCATACTCTGGGGTAGATGTGATTTCGTTGGAGATGCCAGCGTGCTGTGATCCGAGCTGGTTAGCCACATGAAGTTTCTCACCAAAGACTTGGTTCAAAATCTTGATGTAGGCGTTCTCCAGTGCTGGTTGCTCAATCTTGATAGGCTGTGCCTCAGGTCCATCAAGGTTACCAATGACGAGGTTCTGAACAGGCGTCTCACTCATGAGGTTTTGCCAAACGCCGCGCATTGCCTGTGAAACAGTCTCCTCATTAATGTAACCCAACTGGTATCCGACAACCGTGGGAGATGCGCCGCCACTCGCCTTGAGCGACATAAGAACATCGAGCAACACAGGACCCCACCTAGTGGTCTTTCTCCGAACTTGCTCGATCACGGCGATCCTCTTGAGCGAAGAAGGCAGCATTGGAGCAAGTGATGAGCCCAGCCATGGGCGGTACAACCGTGCTGTGATGATAGCCGTGTTGGCATATGCTTTGGTCTCATCAACACTGTCCAACTCGGTGGCAAAGACAGCGGTGTCGGCACCAAACAAAAAGATGGCAGCCTCCTCCTTGCCTGTACCTGAAAAGGCAAAGGCGTCGTAGCTTCGTCCAGTAGCATCCCTTATGGTTGACCAGATTTGTGTGGCGAATCGGTAGATGTCTTCTGAAGAAACAGGTTTTGATATTAAGGACTCAACAGTGGTGGCGGAGGACACTGATGCGGCGCTTGTGCTAGCCTCGCGTTCTGATGATCCGGAAGAAGAGTCACCACGCTGGCTGTTCCTTTCCGAAACGGGAAGTGACTTGCTTTGGTCTGGGGCGCCGGCCAGTGCTGATGTAGGGGCTGCATTGACGGCCTGGCTGCGGGCGAAACTCAGCGAAGGGGTCCTGCCATCATCCGCGTACAGCGAGGTTTCCTGGGACTTTGAGTTTTGGAAGGCCGCCACGGCATCCATGTCAATGACACTCCGGACCAGAGCCGCATCTTCCACCTCTACTGTCTTCCGGAATGCGCTCGCGCCAGAGTCGAAGAAGTGAATGACACCCTTGCCTGACTTGATGGCCAAGGCATGTGCTGTGAGGGCGAGATCTTGCAACTCCTGTAGAGTCTCAGACTGAATGAAGGCAAAGCCAGACTGCCTGATGGAAGTGATGTCGGAGAAGTCCGGGTAGCCTGAAGGCGCTACCGATACATGTATGACGACAGGGTATTGAGCGAGTTTATAGAGGTGGGGTATCGACTTGACAAGAATGGAGGAAGTTGTGGTCACGCTGGTGAGTTTGCCCGCGCGAATGGGCTGGAAGACTGAGAGGAGCGGGTCGGCATTTTGGCGGACGGTTACGACCTGAGGGAAAATGAGTCAGTTGTATTGTGTGAAATTGGCAGTTGTTCTGGCATACCTCTGGAAGTGTCTTGCACACAACACTAGGCGCATTGTGCTTTTGGAGGCCCTTCAAGGCCTCTGAGAACTCGGACTCAGTCGAGAGGGAAGGAACGACTGATACAATTACGTCGGAGGCCTGGTGGGCGATTCGGGCCACTGCAAATGAATCGAGTTAGTATGAATCATATCAAAAAAAGTAAAAAGTGAGTGTTCCTAATGGGGGGTGTTGGGGTAGAAGAATGGTGGGGCGCGTGGTTGCGGGGGAACATACCGGCCTCTCCTGCAGTCGAAATCGAGCCCATGTTGACTGCAGTATTGCAAAGTAGACAGTAACAACGAGGGAATGATTATGGAGGAGACGAGCAGTTGTAATAGTAGTCGGGCTTCGGGCCGTCGGCGACAGTCCTCATAATCAGCGACAGCGGCAGTGGAAAAATTCCCTTTAAGAGGTCATGACAAGGTACGCCGAAAGCACGCAATATTTTAGTGCAATTCAGCGTCTGGGGCGACGTCGGACAGACGACGAATCAGATGCGGGTAGATTGTAGCTCGGAGTACCTGATCCGACTAGGCTGGGACGGCAGACTCGAGGCGAGGCCAGTGCCGGTGTCATCTGTTAAATTCCTATCCGCAGAGCGGCCTTGGGAGGGTAGGAGTGCCGTATCCTCGCCGTCAGTGCAATTCGCCATGGCATGCTTACTTTGCCCTCCGCTGAGTGGTCGGCCGCTACCGATGGCGCTAGACCGCATTCACACGTACCGAGGATAGCAGCCATTATCGATAAGCGAGGGTAGCCAACCTCCACCTGTTCGGCTTGCAGGCAGTGCGACATACTGGCATCATGTGGTCTGAAACAGCACAGCACTCTCCGTACGACCAATCGTCGACACGGCTCCTCTCCTCCTGCTCCCGTAACCGCTTTCACCCGTGCCGGATGTTGACATTAGCGCGCCTATCGCAATGAAGTCTGCCTCTCCATTTCCAGATCCCCTCGTCTCCGACACCCCGCTGCCCCTGCATCAGTTGTGCGCCCGCATCAACGACCGCATAACCACCTTTCTTGACGCCCAGAATGTCTCCCAACGCGTAAAGAACGTGCAGCAGCAGACGCAGACGTCGCTGCAAGTACTCGCTGAGGCCTTGGACCGCTATACGTGCGTCTTGATAATGTGGGGCTTACATGCCTATCTGGCTGACACTCATCCAGTCTCCCTGAGCTCTCTCTATCCTACAATGGCGGCAAGGACTGTCTTGTCCTGCTCATACTCTACCTCTGCGCCATACACCGCCGCGGCTTGACCAAATCTCCGGATACCGCATCCAGCCCTGAGACCGTCGTGCAGTGCGTATACATTCAAGACGCGCATCCCTTTCCCGAGGTCGAGGAGTTTGTCGCACACAGTAGCAAGATATATTCATTGTCTCTGTTGGAATACGCGAAACCCATGAAAGCCGCTTTTGCCGACTATCTGCGAGACCAGCCCTCCGTCAAAGCGATACTCGTCGGAACCCGTCGGACCGACCCTCATGGCGAACATTTGAAGCATTTTGATCCAACCGATTCAGGATGGCCTGCGTTTGTGCGGATACATCCGGTCATAGACTGGCATTATGCTGAGATATGGACAGTATGTGTACATTCATCTTGACTCGCTCTGCTTGGCTGACACTGTACAGTTTATACGGTACCTCAACATACCGTACTGTTCTCTCTACGATCTTGGATACACCTCATTAGGCGGGACCACCGATACACACCCGAACCCGAAGCTGGAGCAGGGGTCACCTCCACAACAAGCAATGGAAGCTGAGAGTGAGAATGGGACATCAAAGCCCAAGTTTAGACCAGCCTATGAGCTGATAGATGATTATGAAGAGCGACTGGGGAGGGATAAATAGACACCAAAACGCATAAGCGATTCGCATTTATACGTTGTTGTACGCGAAGCATCATTAATATATAGATTTTCGCATCATTCACGCTCCAGGCATGAACAGTACATGACACTCGTGCTCTTGAAAAGATTTGAGAAGGTGATCAGCACAATGACCTCTATCATCATGTCCCATAGCCAAACGCCCAGATTATTCATGCAGTGTAAGGTATAGACACCTGATGATAGATTTTCCATGGTTGAGTTTTGTACTTGCCAACTTTCAGCAATCACGCAACTGTTGGGCAGATATGCTCTGATGACCTACATCCATGTTACACATCGCCATCAGCAGCAAACAGTACCCGAAGTAACGATTGGTATGGTTCACTTATCTCTGCATATCATAGTAGAGACTAATGCATTGAGCGTATGCAAGAACATATTGAAAACATATCTGCCGTTTCGTCACCAGCAAACGAAGAGCTAGGCCGCAGACATGGTAACTGTAGCATCTAATTCCCAATATGGTAAACACACCCTTTGATACATTACTGAATATGCTATAAGAGGTTACCGTCTTGCCTGGAACGAATCTGAAGACCAAGCAACCGCACATCCGACATATACAGTTGGAATAGCTTCAGATTACCCAGTAGATTACACGCCATGGCCCTCATAATCTCTCTCATCATCCCTATCCTACTACTATCAGTTGCCCACCCCGCAACCGCCCTCTCCGCCCAACTCCACGAACTTATCCCCGGCCCAGGCCTCCCCAGCCTCGCATCACTAAACCTAACCACATCTGACATTATCAATCTACCTCTCCCTCTCCCCTTCGGACCCACAGGTAAAACCGTCTCTACCGCAAGCCCCCCCTTCCCCTCTCACCATCCCGGAAACTCATTAATATGATTTTCTCTCAGGCCAAGATCCTCCCCAGAGAGGACCCCGGAAAGATCCCCAGTGCGGACCTGAAGATGCATACACGAACGTCGATAGTCTGGTCACTTGCTACAAGTATATCCACAGGCTAGGCACCGAGTTTTGCGAGTTCAGGCTTCATGAAGTAAAGACGCTGTGTCGCATTGGGGGTGTTGGTGTTGTTGGGATTGGGATTGGGAAGGAGGTTGAGAGGAGTTATTGGTGAGCTTCTCCTTCCCCCCCCCCCCGTCAAAAGTTTTTTTTATTTTTCAGAGTGCATGGCTCATGTGTTTGGATGGATAGTTCAGATGTTGCGTTGGGACTTCTTACTGTTATTGATGGTTGTACGAGACCGGATCAGAGTGCTGCGGGCTTTGCTGCTGCGAATGGGAATGGGAATATCATAGTTGGGGGGACGAGGGTAGATTTTGTTATCCATATCAAGAGCATGGCAGCGTGGGGTTGATGTGGTTTGTGCACGTTGATGATGGTGGGAAATGTTGGGGTGGGTTTTACGTGAACAAGACACTTTTTGCATTTTGTAACGTTACACGAAGTCTATGCTTGAATTTTGCTCCATGTGATATTATTGCATCCTCGAGACACTTAATTATCTGATGATTTTTCATTGATTACTACTTTAGCTGTCTAAAGTAGAGTAGGCAAAGAATATTTCTTGGGACTTATAGCAGTTAAAAGAGGAGTGAATTTTTTTCGAAATTTCTTTAGCACCAAAATTCAAACATCCTTCACATAGTGCTAGAAGTAAGAGATCGAACTTCTTTACTTTAAACCAAAGAGGGTTCTTAGTTTGTTGTCTTCTTGGTCAGCGAGGAGAAAGGGATTTAACCCTTTGACTACTAGGTCTTCTTAGCCAAGTAGAACAAAAATAAGAAGCAAAAGACAATTACACCATCTCTCTCACTGAAGTATAACATAATTTGTCGAGGAGCATTTATCATCTCCCCTTGGGCAGATGCTCCATTCATGAAATAATTGTCTTATCTAATTCTGAAAAGAATTCAGACATTCGGATTGGTGCTTAATGTATCCGTTGTTATTTCCTTTTTTCATATCATGCCTGAGTACCCTTCGGGCCTTCTCTTACCTTGCTCACTGGTTACTCCACCACACCATCTCTGCCGATCTCCAGACCTGCACATGACCACTTCATGTTGTATCCAGATCCTCTCAACACGACAATCTTTTTTGGACTTGCAGTACCTGCCTCTTCTTTACTAGAAAGGCCCTCCATCGCATGACCGCCCACACATATATAAATAAATAGTTTTACGAAAATGCTAGTTGCTATGGGTCTCTCTATGCAAAATGACGTGGGCCGCGTAAAGTAGTAGCATGATGTTAGTTGAAGGTTGTTTAACAATTAAGCCGATTATTCAGATAAGCAGGGTCTTGACCACCAATCGGTAATCAAGTACCGAGATCATGGCTAGTTGCATACTCGATGTGGAGGTATTTGCGGGGAAGAAAAACTTGTTGTAGCAGATATATTATACACTGTAGCCAGCTTCCTATATCGTGAATCGAGAGTTTTACAAAGTCACTAGCATACTTGTTTTAAGCAATACCCCAAGGATCCTGAATAGCGAAACCACAAGACGAAGGACTTTGATTGCCCAATCATGTACTATCTCGTTGGCAAATTGTGCAGTTCATGCAAGCAATAGGTCCGACTGTGGCGGTGTTCGGGTCCTTGGGGGTTCTTTTTCGGCATAGTTTGTGACCCTAAATAAATGACGACAAGACTCACTACTGCAAGTGTCCTGCCGGCAAGGACATATGTACGAATGAATTGCCAACTGGCACAAGGCATTATGTTAGAGTATTGGAGGAAACTCCGAGCAGTCGCAACTATTAACCTAACAGGTTGTTGGCAATGAACGGGTTGCCTACAATGGGCATTGGGGCTTGATAGTCATGCGACTCGATACCATCGACGGGGAAACCTCCGACAGGGTCTAGAAATCCGGAACTGTCACCAAGCCATCTTGTTCGATAGCGGAAGCAAAGGGCTTTTGGTCGACAGCCAAGCATTGAGGCGTGTCCCTCGTGCTAAACATGTGTCGCCCCAGGGTTCAGGGCTGATGCGGGCGGGTCGGTTAGGCCTCGGCCACTAAGATCGATCGCCTGCGCCCCGCGGCCCACTGCCCACTTTGCCCACACTACACTACACTACCTTTTGCTCCACAAGGCGCAGGCGTGCGTTAGCGTACGGCTAGGCAATGCAGTTCCGCCTCCATCAGGAGGTGGGGTCTTGTGCCCTAATCGCTGACTATGCTACTGCATGCAAACGTAAGACGCAGCGGACAAGGTTTGGCCTGGCTTTCGCGATAATGGCTCATCGGATGTGTTTGGTTCCAGAGCCCTTGAGAAAGAGGGTTTCCCGTCATCTCCTTCGCATAGTAATGAAGGAAATTGTCGTGTTTGAACAATTTGTCTGCGAGATCCATACTCTCATTGCATCTCTCATACTTCCTCAATGCTTGTCTTGGTCAAGATCAAAAGTAGTATTTGTAACGTCTAAGGCTCTGGTCTACTAAATCATATGTAACTGTAAATGGCAAATAGTGGAAATGGATTCCATATTACAGACTCTGAAAATACAGGATCAAGCATCTTTGTCATGATCGTAGTGGTGCGCAGCTAGTGACTATCTGCCGTCATCTTTCTTGTTGTCAAAGTAATGATACGCAACTGGTGGCGAGTCGTCGTCGCCATATGCGTTTCCGCCATAGTTCAGATACCCCTCGGCGCCCTTGAAAGGAATTGTCGCAATATCCTTGTAGTCGCCAAACACCCAAGCGCTCTGCATACCCATCTTCATGTGCGGGATAATGTGACAATGCATCAACCAAACTCCTGGGGCCTCGACACGTATTCTCCAGGCCCTCCACGAATGTACCTGCCCAGCCACACCTTTAGGGGCGTACCGGTGCAACATTGTAGTATCACGTAGCACAGGGTTGTAGTTTTCCAGCATCTTCTCATGCTCAACAGGATCGTATTTGCCCTTTCCGGTTCCGGCGTCGAAGTAGTGCCTGCCGTGTAAATGCATAGGATGGTGATCCACCCCGCTGTTGTTGTTGACTAGACTTCCTGTGTTTTCGAGGATGATCTCAAGGACTTCTCCAAGCTTGGCTGGCCAAGTAAGAGTATATGGGTCCCAGTCGTTGTTTGCGAGTGCCGCGGTGTAGTTTGGCATGGCGATCGGCCCATGCCTATAAATGTCTACCAGGTACGGGGGGCTGTTTTCCGGAGCATCTTCTGTCCAGTTGAGGCCGTCCATTTGCCAAACGATTGAGCCTTTCATGATTTGCTGATTGGTGATGTGGATGCGTCGCGTCACCTCAGATGCCTTCGGGAAGTTGTTAGGGACCAAAGGCTCCAACGCATACTCGAGGAAGTCGTATGTGGCGTTCGTAAGAACGAGAGGGTTTGTGATAGGCCGAGTGGTAATCTGATTTCCCTTGATGCTGGGGTAGCGCAGAATGCCAAATCCAGTGTAGACAGCAGGCCGGTCTTTCGTCTCAAACTGGATGTAGTAATCAGTCTTGCCTGCTGCCTCAAGCTCAGCTACCGTCTTTGCACGAAAGAGTGCGTCGAAGCGCTGCCCAGTTGCTACCTGCATGTAGCCGATCGGATGTGGTTTCGTGTAATGACCATCTGCTGCAATGACTTCGAAATCGGAATGGCCCTCGATGGCCAACGAAACCATAGATATGACCCCTGCACCTATAAATCTGAAGCGATAGACTTTTCCAGGCTCTACGTCAATGACTGGAAGCTGACAGTCTCCCTTGCCAACCGTTGCATTTCTTGTCACACCAACTCCGTTAATTAGTACCGCATCTACTTCACCAACCCAGACAAATGGAGTTGCCACAAGACCTTGCTCCATTACTTCATCACTTTTCTTGTAGTAGTCTTGGAAGAAGACCAATCGCTCTTCGTCGTACGGAATCGGGGGTAATCCGAAATCCTCAACGATGAGCGGTCCACTAGCAGAGATGGCTCCCATATGCATATGTGTGTGGTAAAAATATGACCCTGCATCGTCCAATCCAGGGTGTATCTCATAATCGAAACACTTGCCGGATGCAATTCCCCACTGAGAGACGGGGGATCCGTCACTAAATGGAGCTGTACTTTGGGTAAGGCCATGCCAATGCTGAACTGTGTTAGACAACGCTTTGAAGATTCGCGAAAAACACTCATACCATAGTCGTGTTGTAGTTATCCACGTGGTTGCAGACCCTCACCCAGCTTGTTTTCCCAGCTGGTAGTCGTAGCGTCGGTCCAGGGGATGTGCCATTCACCAACACAGACATGCGCTGCTCGCATGCTACATTTTGGATTTCGCGTGTGATTGTGAGATAGAAATCGGGGTGAAAGCGATCGCCATGGGTGACCACGCCGGTAGTATTCGCGATGGCGGTACCATTGTCACACGGCTCCTCCTTGCTCACGACTGAATGCGCCGTCGCCAATAGTAAACCAATCGCAAGGCGGGAAAACATCTTAAATGAATGGGATGAGAGGTGAGAATAATGTGCTCAGGATCCACCAGTTATATATATCAAGCACAATCATTATAAATAAAGATTGCCATAGTTAGCCCTCCACATTCTGACCCACCCGATAGGTACACCTGCCTGTCGATCAGTTTGTTCCGACAGTGCCTCAACGACCCTAACGCTAGTAGCGGTAGGCCAGGGTGTGGGTCCGCCGGATACAGGCGCCCCCCAGAATCCACCGAGGCTGGGCCGACGATCCTGGTGTCTAGTGTGTAGTATCCTCGCATCTCAGGTTCTTCGAAATCATGTATTTTATGGATACCTTTTCGTAGATATTGAAAGTAAAACCGATCATTGCAGTCATATTTGTTCTTCCTACGTAGAGCACCCAGTTGTTGCCCAGTCGTCACACCAAAATCCTCATGTTATTTAAGTGCTGTCTAGTAAGTAAACTTTGAGTTCGGACCGAAGAAACGTCCCGACTTTCGTGCGATCATGTCGCCTCAAGCACCGGTAATTTCCCAAGAAACAGACATGGATGAATTGGGCCGTCATGTTGAGCTAGCAGTTATATGCTCGACACCCAGTGATAGAAGTGTCGCTGCCCCACAAGCTTTGATCTGAACGTTCACCCCCTTATCTTCCCTCACTCCTCTACATATACTACATTCACTGTACCACAGCATTTGCGACAGGTGATTTTTGTTGCCCACACTCGTTTCCATCAAAAACCAATCCCATCGAAAGAAAAAACAATGTTTAAATTAATCGTCGTTTCGTTTGTGGCTATGCAAATGACAGCATTTGCGGCGCCACAACAGCAATCCGGATCTAGCGGCGTGCAAATCACAAGCTTGGAGAAGAATGCCACATCCACCGTCGGCTCTGGAAATGTGGCGGCGGCGGGTAATCTCACCCCGTTTGGTGATATCGGCGTTGGCTGCGGTATCAACTGGAAGGCAGACACGTCTTACGGAGGTAAGCAGGTCGTCAGATTACGCAATCTACTCTGTACGGGAATTGACACTGCGTGTTAGGTGGACTTCAAGCCGGCTCTAGCGACTTTGGCCTGGGGAGCGGGTTCACCATGACTCCTGGATCCATTCGTATCGGTGCAGGAATTGGAATGAATACGGTGAACGCTAGTGCCAACATACAGTTCACGGGTTCAAAGAATGGTAGCGTAGAGCTCGTATTCGAAAGCACATCTCCCGTAGTGTGCACGCCTGGAACCAGGGATGGCAAGTCCATTGTATCTTGCAAGACGATCAATGCTTAATGCGATGCTTATACACGCGTGATGTGGTATTGATCAAGGAAACCTTGGAAAATTTTTACGGGCCTTTAGTAAAACCGAACAGAGCCAAATCACCGTCAATTGCTGGATTTTTGTCTCAATGTACACTATTCGAAAACTACTTAATAAGTACATAATATTGACTGGTTATACATACTTGAATTCTTCTTCAATGGAATACTCTTCCGCGCTAGATCTTGCCTACATTCGTTATTGAATGTGGTTATCTGGATAGGAAGGATATCAGATTTACAACAGAACCGTGACCTCAGTCGTAGGCCCCACTACAGCTGCGGGACAGCTTTAGTACCCAGGGTCTGTTCGAGGCTCAAAGCTTTGACAGAGGGTGCTAGCTGGCCTCGATCTAGATTAAGACAGATAACGGAGGCGCTGTTAAGTTGAGCTCTATTTTATGTCCAAATTTCAATCATGCCGTAGGCTACACTGCTAGAATAGCTAGAAAATGGACATTCATTTCGTGTTACGAGGAGGAAATTTTGTGAGAATTAGTACCAGAGAGATCCTATTCTATGGAGTAGAAGAAGTCTGATCAAACCGAGCTTCATCTCCTAGCGTTCATACATCTTTTTTTCTTTCAAACACGATGCTTTTTCCAGCTCCTTTCTCTAAAAGGAGCCCAGGTTATGTTCAGCAGAGGAGGAACGGAGACGGAGGTGAACAGGCTCTTACTCGAAGTTTAGCACTCTGACTTGGTGTTGTACGAAAGGAACTTCCCTAGTGAACTATATAGTATGACTGCCGTGTTAATGGCTTGGGCGAACAAGTCTTGGTTCGATGAAGTCATGACTTGGCTCGGGCATGAAGTTAGTTATAATACACCTATCTCGGTACCGGCGCCGATTCCGAAGAGTTCACTGGATCAGTCAGAACATTGGTCTTTTCGTAGCGGCACACCAAAGCAATGCGGGCTAGAGTCTGCTATTTATGTAGACGCCGTCGAACCACTACTTTTAGTGCTGTTTCGTGTAAACCTTATGATAAAATACGCGCCTCAAATGCTCGCAATACCGATATATTGGCCTCTGTTAACGCCACTAACGAGGTCGAACCGTTCGCACTGCATCTCAACGATATGGGTACCATCGATAGCAATCATCGCTTCCTGGAAAGAACAAAGTTTGAAATAAGCTTTCTCATCTGCTGGCCTGCTCCCGGAGTTCCGGGCATGACTGAGTAATGCGGGTTTTACCTGACTTCTCGAGCAGCCACCTAGTCCATGAGATCATCACGGAATCTCACGGGATCACAGCCGCCCCACGTGTCAGCGCTGCCACAGGCGGGTTGTTGCATAAGACTTGCATAGTTGTCTGCAGATGTTTTAATCAATCTGATACCATCCAATCAGAGTTTCGATTCTTCGCCTTGCGAAGAAACAAATGAGAGCTGCTTTAGTAAAGACGGGTTTCTAGCCTTCCGAGCCGTTATTGTCAGATGTCGCGGCTTTCACTGGCCGTGGGGCCAATATCACGAATTTGATACGCCGTCTCTAATACGACCAAGGTAATTGTGTTCAATCTTACTGAACTTCACGTGTACTGTCAGGTAAAGACTCAATTGTATCGTGACTATCGCACCATACTAACGCACACATATTGTTTCGTGCTGACTTATAGAAAACGCGATCGAATATTCCTTGCCAAACTCACTTCGAATACGCTCTAATTTCCACATCCGGGCCTGTTATATTGCTTTGCTTATCCATTTGTTGAGCAGCGAGAATTTGATGAAGATGTATGGGAGGACACAAAGATTGCCAAGTATGGAGTTGTAATGCGATCGGAGAGAATGCAAACATATCAGACTAAACTATCTACAGATATGCTTGGAATTTGGCTGGATTACGATGTATAATGTTCTTTGCTATTGGGTCTATAAAGAACTACTAGTTTAACACCCTGAAAAGGCCTCAGCCGGGGTGTTCGGACGAATGGGATCATGGGTCTCGGTATCATCGCACTGCTACTGATAGCTTACTCTGCAAGGTAAGGGTTGAATAAGTGGAGTCGAGTCCAACAAATAACTCTCTTCTAATGTGAGCGCAAACCACCCCTCTAGTGCCCAACTAAATTATGCTATGACCTCTAGTCGTGCTTTTTAATCAGCCTTAGTTACAACACCTCCAAACTCTCACAAATGAAATTGGGAAAATATCACCATGATAGTATTACCTGGATGCATAGAAGGAATGTAAAGCTAGTTGGTCAGACAATTGCGCGGGTAGATGCAGGCTTGGTAGGTACATAAAATGAGCATCTGCAGTTCCCTCTTTGATCAACCAACGCTTACGTACGTCACCACATCACCACTTCCGAAACTGGCAAAGTAAGTAAGCTTCGTTTCCCAAATGACATCGGCTTCTCAACAGGCTCCCCGACATCCTTGCTTACATATTCCACTAAGCTTGCTTGCTCGTAGCTTCACCAACTGTGTTCTCAGAGCGGATTTCGTCGCAAAACTTGCTGTTGTAGTCGACGCGGAAACTTCGGTTGAACAGCAGACATAGATCCTACGATCCAATAGGTAACTCGTGTTCAAAATGCCAGACCTTATACATATGAACCTGGTTTTGGGAGAATCTCAGCTGATACATAGACCGATATCGAGTATACTTCCAGATGAGGAGGCATACTAGCAAGTGTATCACATATTCTAATATCATTGCTATGGAGGAACCTGATATTGAAGTAGTTTCATGTGCTGAATTGAATCCCACTCCGGCTAACAACCATTGTGGTTTCGCTGTTCAACATGGAAAATGTTGACATGGCCCAAGAAGAAGTAAACTACAGATAATTCTTCTCGTATGATTGCTCTGCTTGTTGAGTTGAGGATCGTATCTTGTAATATTGTCATTGCATAGCTCGAACGTAGAGAGCTAGTATCTAACTGTCGTTTTCACTAATGTCATCACCATCTTCTTCTCTCCCACCAATGAAAAAGGCAGAGATGATAGCAGTGAATGCACAGAGACCAGCAAGCACCGCATTCATATTCCCATATCCAATCTTTTCCCGCAGTAGACCAGCAATCAACGGACCTACAGTCAGCCCGCCGCTCCAGACCATACTGTTGATACCATAAAGTTGCGCATATGGCGCCTGTTCAAATAAGTCTTCGTTTGCTTTGTAGTACTTCTCAACGACATTCCCTGCTTCAACGATACTAGGGCTATTGATACTTGATAACCCCAGCCCGTTGGCTGCCAACAGGCCAGCGTAGAGCGCAATAAGGTGTGGCTTGTCCAGTTCTTCGACAAGATTCGACTCGGTGGGAAGGCGAAGTAATATAAGAGTGGGTATGAGCCAGGTAAATCCAAGGAAAGCCATTGGTTTCGTACCGTAGCGATCAACACACCATCCGAAAACAGGTCCAAGAAGGAAGTCGGCACCGCCTAGCGGCAGGAAGAGAAGCCCGGCTTTTAGACTATTGAAGCCAAATTGTTCGGAGGCTACCAGAGGGATTGTAGCGTCGAAGGATCCTAGTAGCAGAGCCTGCATGAAGGCAATCCAGATGGAGGCCAGCAGGGCAGGATTGCGTAAGAGCATGACGATGGGAAAGTTGCGGGTGAATCGATTTGTTGGCTTGGAGAGACGGTAGCAATTATTAGTGACGGTACGGTTGGGCAAGAGAGGTGTCTCCTCAGTGTTTTCTTGAGTGCTATCCGGATCATGGACTGTTTCTGACTTTGGACTAGAGTACTTTGCCGCAACTTTCGTCTCTACCATGAGTACTCGGAGGATGAAGTCTACTCCGATCAATCCAAGACCAATTCCAAAAACGCCCGTATATCCAGTTTTCGCGTAGAGTACTCCACCAGCAATGGGCGAAAAAAGCCCAGCCACAGAAATGAAACTGAACAACGTGCCCATGGTTTTTCCCAAGTTCTCTTGCCCTACCGTCTCTACGACAATAGCGATACCAATGGTCCAGACAACGCCTCCAGAAGCACCCTGCAGAATTCTCGCAATA